GAGGTTATGGTGGTAAAGACAGAGGAGGGGTTGACAGGTTCAAAGGTATGGAAGGAGGGATGGGTAATTGTCGGATGGGTAATTGTGGGGGTGGGGGTAAGGAGGGGATGGAACTTGGGAGGGCAGTGGCAGCTGAACGGATTCTCTTGATTTTGGACTCGAGGAAGTCCAGCATTTTCTTGCAGTGAGAGTCAGAGGAAAGAATCTGCGAGGCGTGGCGGGGAGGGCGGAGGAGCCGGTTAGTGGTGGAGAACAGGAGCCTGGGGTTGCCCTTCGCCTCCAGGATTAACCTGGAATAGAAGGATGATTTGGCCGAGAGCGAAGCGGTAGTTCTTGATGAGGTCCAGCCAGATGTGGCGGTGGACTGTTAGGCTGGATTTGAGCCAAGTGCGTTCGGCAGCCCGCACCTGGCCCTTAAGCGAGTGAAGGTGGCTGGTAAACCAGGGTGAGGATCGTGAATAGGCGGCAGTTCGGGAGGTGAGTGGAGCAAGGGCGTTGAATGTGGTGGAGAGGGTGCTGTGGAGAAGGGTAAGCACAGCGAGTGGTTTGGTGCAAGAGGTGGGCCAGAGGAGGAGGAGTTCAGAGGACTCCAGGGCAGCAGAGAGGGATTGCAGGAAGATCTTCTTCCATGGGCGGTAGAAGATGGTGGTAGGTTTGGAGGCAGTGGGGAGAGGGATATGGGAGTTGAGGGAGATGAAATGGTGGTCAGAGATGGCCTTGTCAGTGATGGTGACATCCGAGACGTTGAGGCCCTGGGTGATCACCAGGTCAAGTGGATGACTGTGGGTGTGGATAGCACAGTGGATGTGGTAGGAGAGGTTGAGAGAGGAGAGAGGAGAAGTTTGAGGAGGTGGAGCAGGAGGGGGTGAAGTGGAGGTTGAAGTCGCCTAGGATGATGAGGCGGTCAGAGCAGAGGCAGAGGGAAGCAAGGCGGGTGGAGATGTGAGAGATGAAGGTGGGGGAGGATTATGGAGGGCCATAAAGTAGGAGGATTTTTAGAGGGAGATGGGAGGGATGGCGTAAGGTGTTCGAAAGAGGGGAATGAGCCGGTGGAGTAGGGGAATAGGGCAAGTGACGCCCTGTATATGAGGACCATCCCGCTGCCACGGCGGTTGGGGTGTGGGGTATGGTGGTAGGTGAGCAACTTTGGTGTACTAGTCAAGTTTGTTACAAAATCATCTCTAGTTTTGGGGCTGTGAATTACAAGTAACCGTCTGAATTCAGCATCAATATAATGGAACCTGTGTCAAATTTGTTGGATTTAAGGGTACAAATTTATTGATGATCATCTCCTGTTTCAAATGAATCTAAAATATGACCCTCAGTAGAAGGTCATCTCGGCTGGGGTCTAAGTACCAGGGAGAGATAGGACTGGCCTTGTACAGTACGGGACTCTCAGGTCAGTCACTATGGTGGAGTCCTGTAGCTCAGTGGTTAGAGCACTCGCTTTGCAAGTGAGAGACCTGAGTTCAATTCCAGGCAGAGGGCGAAACCTTGGGCAAGTTTCCTTACTCCACACAGAGCCTAATAATAATCCCTCCAAAACCAAAAACAATAATAAATTGTTCATTTTCAATCTACGACTGTTTGTGGGACATTGCTGTGCGCAATTGGCTGCCGCGTTCGCCCACAAATATACAGTCAATTCACTTTACAGTGTGTTCTGTGAAGCGCTTTGGGACGTCCTCCCGACGTGAAAAGCGCTATATCAAATGCAAGGATTATTATTATTATTATGGCAAGCCGTGCAGTCAAAGTCCTCAGATGAAAAGAGCCAAGAAGCTCAAAGGGAACATATGTTCATTACCGAATTTAGACCCAATTAGGCACAAGTGGTGAGCTGGAAGTATTGCGTTTTCAAATTCCTTTCATAAAGTGAAAACTAACAGATATTTACCCAAAAGACCTGAAGATGGTGGTAGGTTAGGGGGAGAGGCTGTGGAAGACTGTTCTTGCTACATGGAACTGTGTTTAAGGCAAAGTTTAGCCAGATGTTTGGGATGTGGGTAGAAGTTAAGACTAGTGGAACCCCACAAGTGAGATGTGTTGATCCCCATTATGAAGCCTTTGATAGCTCTTGAACCCGTTCACTACCAATGATGCTTGATTTTGGTCTATAAATTTTTGTCTTTCAATATCCAGGGCATTAATTGGGATTTGAACTAGTCAGGATTTAACATGAAACCCGACACCTGAGCACAAGATCCTTTGGGCAGGTGGCTCAATTCCAAGATATTTTGTGATTAGGGTTCTGACTAATATATATTTGGGTTGGAGCTGATCGGAGGACTGGCTGGGGTCCTCCTTAGGGTTTTCCCTTCCCAGCTCCCCTTAAAGAGGTGACTGTGGATAGATTTGAGATGGGGGTGCTGAGCTCCCTCTAGTGCCAGCCCCCGCCACCTATGTGGACACCCTTTCAATACTGGCTGTGCAGTCCACAGATTGACTGCAACGTATCCACAAAACATTGTGTAATAAAACACGAGAAACCATGGGGAAATGGAAGAGAGGGGGGAATGGGGAGGGGAAGCTGATAGGGTCCACAGTCTCTTGTAGCGCCTCTTGTAACAGGCAGTCTCTATGGGTTCTTGGCAAAAAAACTCAGATAATTTCATAGGAATTCACACTATGTCCAGATGGTAAATATGAGTGAGTGGAACAGTGCATGTACAGAGGCCACTGATCCTCATCAGTATTGAGAATGTTCTGGAAACTTGACAATTTTGAGGCTAAAGCAAAATGAAGTAGGCACCAAAGTCTATCTACCTCAGCTGAAAATTGGACAAGAGAAGACGGAAGAGTTTGGAAAAACTGGGAAGGACTTTAGAAAGAAATTTAGAAAGAATAAGCGCTTTGAGACGTCTCGAAGACGAAATAAGGCGCTATACAAAATGCAAGGATTATTATTATTATGATGAGGAAGATGACAGGGAATCCCAGAACCCATGGAAAAAGTTAATGAACGAATGTCATGTGGGCGCCGGTTATTCAATGAAAATGGAAAGATTCACATGTTCAACATCTAGGTCATGACGTTTGATGCACATCTCAAAAGTCACGGTGTCTGTGGTTTATTCCCCAGCAGAACATGAGCTGTTGGTGGCAGAGTCTCCAGTGAGCTGAGAAAGTACAATGGCCTTTTACAGTTAAGTGTCTGAGACCAATTATGCTGCTGGATTCCAACAAAACAACTCAACAGACCATTCTGATAAACAGATTATTGTGCTGTTTAAATCAAGAGGTTAATCAATTGGAATATGACAACACACAGAGACTGTCACCTATTAATTCAATAGAATTGTGGGACTGTTCAGTCTCCCGTGTCCAATTTCCAGAAATCTTCCAAGATTCAAGAGGCCAGAATATACAAAAAGGTTGGTTGAGTAATTGTGTGCCAGCAGATAGCTTTAAGATGTTTTACAAGATAACACAGCAGTATTCACGCAGGCTACAGGTGAGAACCAGGAACAGACCAATATTGTAACAAACATCATTAAGGAGCTGTACATGGATTGGACAGTGGAAGACAACTTTGATCTGGCAAAACTATTTTGTTTGACCCTTGAACATCTTCTGTAGACTGCAGAAGATAAGCACAGGTTTGGAAAGGTCAGTTTAGTGCCGAACAAAACTCTAATAACAGTATTCAGATTTGATCTGTACAATTACAGGGATTAGTTTTGGCTAATAGATGAAATCAAGAGTGCAGTTCAAAGCGAAGCTGTGGACTATCTAATATTATGAAATAATAGTCTGCTTTTAAAACCTGCCCATCCATCACACCTACAGTGTATCAAGTGAACAAGTTTTTGACTTTACAATGAAGAGCATTCTCCTAATTTTAAAACCAACCCTTTGTTTCATTTTACCTATTATCCCCTTAAGCAAGTGTGAAATATGGCTGTTGTCAGTCTTACTTAGACAGTTAATGGAAAGAGTTCACTGTAGCAGGGAGTCATTCCAACTAACTAGAAAGTGAAGGAAAAGCAGATTAAAGTGAGATTTAAAGGATCTAAATAGCTTTCACATCAGCTTTGCATGAGAGTATAAATGAATTATAAACCAGAGATCGCATGCGTTGATGGATGGCATCACAGCAAATCCTACACACTTTAAATCCAGTTGTACTTGACGCCATGTGTAGGATTCGGTCTATACAATTACAGGAATTAGTTTTTTGCTAATAGGTCAAACCAAGAGTACCCGAGGCCGCGGACTATCTGATCCAACCTAGAAAATGTTTTAAAACCAGTCACTCGTGCACTTGCCTTTTTTCACACGCTGTTAACACGAGCATCTTCATTATCTTATTACAAATCTTTTCATTTTAATCTTAAAGCCTGACCCATCCTTAAGTTTAAAACAATGCAGTCAATATGGCTGGAGGTCACTCAGCCCTTTAAACATTTAATATTTTTAAGATTTTATCTTGGGTGTTAAAAATGGTGTCAATACATCAAAATATGCTAATGAGTTATTTGTGTTAGTTTAGCCAATTTGGCCGAAACACCTCGCAACCTACCAGCCAGGTTATAAACAACTAGGATGAGACTTGCTTTGTGAAAAACGTGAAGGAATCAAGTTACAAGGATAGGTTGTGTGTTACAAGCATATTATTTCCATTGGTAGAAGTACCCAACCACTGGCCCAGGTGTTAGTGTCTACAACACTGACACCTGCCTTTTAGTGGCTTATTGGTGGATTAAGGAAGAGCTCACAGTGTTGGAAAGTTAAAGGACCTCAAGTTTCAGGAAAGGAAGAAGATTCGTAAGAGTTATTTTCAGGATTTAAAGTAGCTCAAAGATCGCCAGGGTATCTGAAGGCAGCTGTAGTTGAGTTAAAGTACAGTACAGGAAACTCAGTGTGACATGCCCTCTAAAAAGAGGGTGAAAGCAGCTTTATATGTTCCCCAAAGGAAGTGGAGGTGGAACAGGCTCACAGTGCGAAGGCACAGAGTAGAAGCAGGAGAACCTGGCAGTCAGAAAATGGTGGTTTCATACTTTGTACTGATCGTCCTCTTGGAATCCTGCTTAGAATCAGCGATCCAGGCCACACCGCCATGGGACTGAGGCTCCTGCTCCAAGGAGTCGATCTACAAAAGCAACACAGAAACAGCTCAAACTATTGCATAATAAAAGGCAACTCCCAACCAATGCTGGGTACATGCAATAAAGTATATGTAAGAGAATCTGACTATGACTCTAATAGGAACAGTGTAGGAGAGAGGTTAATTAACCCCAATATCATTTTCCATCATACTTACTAACATATATTATATATTATAATAATCCTGCATTTGATTCAGGGCCTAAGCATCCAAAGGTTTCAAAGCATATTATGGTGAATTGCACTGGCAACAGTTAACACTTCTTTTGGCATTACAGGACCTGGTTCAGTTACCAGGAAAGAAGCTGAACCTTAGCATTAGTAACAATAAACTAAAATTATTGCTTGGAGAGGTTCATCCTCAAGGCAATCCATCTCCTTTAGATAATAATAATCCTTGCATTTGATATAGCACCTGATCACATCGTTGAGACGTCTCAAAGTGCTTCACAGAATATACTGTAAAGTCGATTGACTGTGTATTTTGTGGGCAAAATTCAGCAGTCAACTGCACACAGCAGTGTCCCACAAACAGTTGTGGGTTCTTTTTTGGCGGGCGGAGGGAAGGGATCATTAACCCTGGAAAAGCGATATGACAACCGACTAATATCCGGGTTCCTACTTACTGCTAGGTAAACAGAGGTGTGTGGAGTAAGGAAACCTGGTATTGGTTAAAATTTTACTGCAGCATAGAAATATCAGGCAGAAAGTTCCTTTGGAATAGCAGAATGAGGCTGAATTTGCACGTCCAAATTACGAGCCAATTGCTTTTTTTATCCAATCTTTACCCAAAGATTGACATATTGCACTAGATAATTAGTTTTAATCCCAAAGTGGTAAATTCTTCCTCCCCCAATAAACGTGAGAATGAGGAAACACCTCTGTTAGCAGTGTAAAGTGCTTGACAAATCAACATATTCAAACCAAATAACTAGTGAGTGGCCCATGAGAACATTTTCGAACATTTGAACTCCTTTAATGCACTGAACATATATGTAGATGGACGGGGCTAAATCAGAAAGCAAACATGTAGTCAATAATACTCCTCGCTACATATTACTCAGCTGGATATCTTCCTCTATTACATTTTCAAAGACACATTGATAGTATAAATAAAACATGAAGTCACTTCACAATTCACAAAGTCATCTTGGGATTTAAAATGGTTTGGAGATTAAAAACAATGGCTCTGAAGATTACATTACATTCTGAAATAAACTATTCAGCAAATTTGTCATTTCCACATCTTGCAGACATTGCATGTCTATATCTAAATTCCCAACACGCAGAAACTCCACATTTAATTACTGAATGTCTGCTCCAATGTCAAACTGAATAAACTTCTAAATTCCATATGAACTTCTCTATTAACCCACTTTAAAGAAGCTCTATAGTTAAGGCTATCTAAATATATTCTCTGCTTTTTAATGAGTTCCAGAGCTACCTGAATACTGCATCTTGCAGATTACATCTTCCCCTGGTAATGAATCCTTTTGATGCTAGCAAAAAACCCAGTGACAGCCATGCATGAATGGAGTTGTGCGTGGAAACACTGAAGACAAATAGAGAGAGAGAGAGAGAGAGAGAGAAACCTGGGCTCCTTGGCTCAATGAATGCAGCGGCAGAGGCGGGAGGAGAGGTCTGTGAGTAGTGCACGTATGACAGTAACAGCATCTGCTGTTGGGTTGCTGCACCTACGTATTTGGCAAGAAATGACAGCAAAAGTCATCAGTGATCCAAGTTCAGTACATGCCACACTACTGCTGGCACTGCTGTCAGATCAGCAGAAAAATTACCACAACTTCCTAATTTACTCTGAGAGTTACCCTTTACTTGGTGAAATGAGACACAAGACAGATCGCAGTATTTTACAACTGGTATGTAAGTCCAGATGTTCATTTATTTCTGCTGCTTGGTCAGTTTATTTTGCATGCCTTAAGTTTATTCTCTCATTTCTCTTTGTTTATAAAGGTGAGAGAAGTAGCGTCGTTAGCAAAAAATTCCATATTAAGTACCCTGCGTCAAGTAATAAAAACAGATTAGATACAGAGTAAATCACCCTCTGTTTTCCGCCCAACAACAAGTCTTGCCACAATGGTGAGAGAGTTTCCATTTCTTAGTGCACTTCAATGAACTCCCAACATTGTGTAAAATGCATTCACTCAATTGGTTCAGACTCATTTCACTTATTCCTTCTTTATAATGTTGACATGGATTCACTTTGGCACCAAACTGAAAATATAGAAGGAAATGTTTCCCTTACAGGTGAGCGCAGAGCACAATGAAAGTAAAGAAACCATTCTGACTGAATAAATCTGACACTGACTCAATATGGTCATTTCTTGCTTTCCCTTTCAGGCATCCTGCCCTTTTGGTACCATTCACTCTCCTGCAATAGGAGAGTCACAGGAATTCACAATACAATACAAATTCACATTTACACTGAGCCTCTCACATTGGAAGGATGTCACAAAGTCTTCAACAATCCTGGTTGACACCTGAGCTGGGGTTGGGAGCTGAGGGGAGTGGGGGAGGGAAAGAAGAGCAAAGATTCGGTCAAAGAGGTAAGTCTTGAGACAGGACCTGAACAAGGTGAGGGAGGGAGCGAGTTGGAGGGGCTCTGAGTTCCAGAGAGTGAGAATATTACAACAATCCATCAGTGAGTATTTCACCCCATCACCCACACTTGTTCTAGTATGAAACTACCCCACTTACTGGAAGGGTGGAACTGGCTCACAAATGCAAACTTTCTTCGGGCCTCCCATTTGTCATCTATTGGTGAACTAGTGCCCCCCTCACACAGTGGTTTTCTCCATAAATGAATCACACTGTCTGTGCGTGGTTCTGGGCAATATTTGACAGTGCTTCTGACAACAAAGGATCCTCTCCAATCCTGCATTTGAGTTGCCAACTCAGTCTATGAGCTCAAGCCTAACACAAAGCTTGAATCCACAAGTGAGAGTGTGACAGTTTAGTCAGGCTGTCACAGTACCTGACCAGAAACTCTGAATGGTAAACCCTGGGGAGGTGCGAGGAGTAAATTATATATTTTTATACAGAGAGAAAAATGGCTCAATTAAATCATCTGACACAAAAGCACACTTTCTGTCAGATACTAGATATATGTAATCCAGTTTATCAGCTCTTGTTCTGGGTTCAAACGCCGATTACATTATGGGGAGATAAACTGGAGTCAATGGATCTCCCACCAGGCTGCTCAAGCCAAGAAACATACTTCTTCCTATAAAACATTTTTTTTGCAAAATATAGCATTTGATGAATTCATCCATTGCTACAAGTCATCTCCATGTTTTTAAAATGTTTCTAAGCTAATATTATTTTGCAATGTTGACTCTAACTAAAGGAGGTTTTCTTTACCCAGAGGGTAATTAACGTCTGAAGCTGGACCGGTTGCCAGGGAGTGCTGTGGAGCAGGACACTGGACTCATTTACAAAATGATGCTGTGACGGTAGCGTGGATATATTAAGAATCTTTGTACAGTGTAGTGAGTTTGCATTTGTAGGTGAACCCTGCAGTCCAATTTGCACACAGCCATGTTCCTCAAACAGCCGTTTGGGGGATTGGTGGGCAGCACACTGGGATAGAGAAACTCCCTTCTCTTTTCCAATAATGCCTGAACAGGCAGATAGGACCTCAATTAATAACGTCACAACCAAAGGATGGTACCTCTGAAAATGCAATACCCTCCAGCACTGCAATGGAGTGTCATCTTAAGACTGTGATTCCAAGGCCTGATGTGGGGCTTAAACCTTCTGACTCAGAGGCAAAAGAGTGCTACCAAGTGAGAAGAGGGAGGGGGTCTGGATGGGACAAACCGATTTTGTGATTTATTTGCTAGGTCAGCGTTTAAAATCTACACGTTAAACGATATTACCCAAATGTTCCTGTATCATTACATTAGTTGCACACTGGCCACCTTGTGTGATGCGAGCAGATAGTTACAATGCTGATAGGAGGCAAGGGAGTTAGTTATCATGATAGAAATATAAATAATATATTCAAACATAAAATAATTCACACATTACAATTTAATAATGGACTATTTGTCAGAATTTGCTTGGATATCAAGGGACCCACTTTAAGGATTTATTAATGCAGATTCAGTGAGTTACCCTGGATTGTGAGATGCCCCTTGTTCTGCCAAATTATAAAGATATCAGATTTCTTTGATAAAACTATAGACAGATGTTCTCAACTGGTCGTTAAAACCTGCACTGCATATAGATGGCAATAAAAGCCTCACCAGTGTAAGCGTCGGTCTGCAGTCAAGTTACCTCATCTATAAATGGAGACACAATTGTGGGAATTAACCCCATGTGTACCAAAAGAATGCAGCTGTAAAGTACAATTAAAAAAAATACTTATTTGTATTATCGGACAAGTTCATACAGGCGAGCTGGGTAGAAGCCGTCTATGTACAGAGTGGGCTGCTTGTAGCGCAGGAGAACCATGGACTTTTGTTTTGGCTCCCTGCACTTCAAAACATTTTCTCACTCAAAGAAATGCTGGGAAGTGGAAGGTCCGGCCAAATAAGGTGATAAAAGGCTATAAGCAGCCCACTCTGTACCGAGGAGGCTTCTACCCGGGTCGCCTGTATGAACTTGTCCGATAATACAAATAAGTGTGGGTTTTGAGAGGGAAGTACACAGGCATATGCAGGATAGAGGCTTGAAGGAGATGGAGACAGGGCAGGGATGTGGGACTGAAGGAACACATTGCTTTGAGAGTTGGTGCAGGCCTGATGGGCCGAATGGCCTGCTTCTGCGCTGTAAATTGCTGTGATTCTACAACAACTATTGAGGTGCTGTACATTTGGTACATTTGATCTATATCTGAGATTTGCTGAATAATTTTGCCTAAGATGTATTTTATTCTCATTGCATTAAAATATGTCATGAGCATACGATCTACGTCCAACCTGTTACACGGACACAGTACAACTGAGCGAATACTTACAGCAGATTTCCTCATGTGGGCTCGAGGCTTGGGGACTGGTTTTCCAGGCTTTCCCTCTGCAGCCTCACAATCCGCTGAGGTTAAAGACTTCGGAGCAGGCTTCTGAGCTTGTAGTGCAAGCTGGTAGGCAACTTCAAATGCCTGTCCGAGTGTAAGAATGATCTCATAGGTTAAACTCTGGAGAAAACAGCAACAACGGAAAGTTATTTTGATCTTTTGTTTAATGAAAGCAACATGTATTAATTCCCACTTAGTTATTCCCATTCTGAATTTAACCTCACAAGTCTAACTCCAATTGATTAAAGAACAAATCATCTGATCTAATGAAGCATCTCAGCTGTCAATTCTTCAAGTTAAGTCACATCTGATCCCAAGTAACATTCCATAAGATCATGGCTGATCTGTACCTTAATTCCATTTACCCACCCTTGTCCCGCATCCCTTGATACCCTGACCGAATAAAGATCTATCCACCTCAGTCTTGAAAATATGAATGGATCCAGCATTCACTGCCTTTTGGGGAGAGATTGCAGGGTTCCACTACCCTACTACAGCCTCCCCTCGTGCCATCACATCACTTTATTCCCCTACTCCCCCACCCGTGGAGTATCTCTCCGTCTGTCTCTCTCTCGCTTATATCCCACAGCTGATATCGCTTCTCTATCTTTCTGGAACTGAGTACTCCAGATTCTTATCACTCTGAGAGACAAAATTCTGCCTCTCCAGCTTTACTTATTCTGGAAATTGCAGTCCAGTGACAACATACCATATCCACTGTGCTGAAGACGTGACAATAGTGGTGATTAGTCAGCAGGTCTTTAGTGATGTAAGCAAATGTACAGAGGTCGTCGGGATCCTGGGCAGCACAGGAGATGTTCCGGATTTCATGTTCGGCGATGATATTCTGTTGATGAAACAAAAAAAGATTTTGAAATGTTTCGTGCACAGAAACAGGCATTCAGAAAACTGCTCTCCAGTCTATTTCTGTAAAGCACTTTGAGACCACAAGAACTTGCATTTATGGAACACTCATCATGTGGGGTAGCGTCTCAGAGTGCTTAATAGTAGCAGAACTTGGCACCGAGCCAGGGGGAGGCGACCATAGGCACTGTCGAAAAGAGCTTCAAGCGTGAAAAGCGCTATATCAAATGCAAGGATTATTATTATTATTATTAATCTAGAGATGGACAAGGAGGGGGCAAGTTAGTGGGATTGAAGCAGAGAGTTCCAGAGCTTCAGGGCTGAAAGCACAGCTGCTGATGGTGGAGTGGAGAGGATGAGGTCAGAGCCAGCTGAGCGAAGGCAGTGAGTAGATGATCGGGGGGTGAGCAGGTGTAAGACGCTTCCTGTATACTGACACTCAAACTTGGCCCTTCCTTTAGCTAACAAGGCCGAACAATATACATTTTCTTATTGTAGCCAACACACAAAGCATTTACATCTACATTTCCCTCCCTTACACTGTTTCTTCTACACGGCATGGAAATGTTAGCTGTGGAATCGAGGCTGGTACATTGCCAGCAGTAAGGAAACTCCGGTAAACAGGGGAACTAATGGGATGGGAAAGAGGCAAAACAGCGGGTTGTAGGATGTGAGAAACAGTTTAGGCAGAAAGGGAAAAGGTAATGGAGATCTTTATTATAAATGTTTGTCAGGCAGCGCTATCAATGGCAAGCTGTGAGGTTTTAGCTGGTTAGACTCCAGCAGTCACCCAAAACTTGGGTCCCCAAGCCTTGGCGGCTAGTCTACACCTAATACTCCAAGGAGAGAGTGTGCATTCCAATAAATATCTCTGGAATTTCCATGTGTAGGCGAGATGGTTGGCTTGGATTCTCTTAAGCACAGTGATGGGTTTTCCGATGTGTCAAGACAAAGACGCACAATATTTTAGCTGACCCCCAAAAATACACCAACTCTCAACAAGAAATCACCATCAAAAGCACTGGTTGTTTGAAAGGTTTCTTACACTGTCATGTAGAGATCATTGGAATAGAGATATCGTTTCGGGAACTTCACACAACAAGAACTTGCACAATATAAAGGACTTTTCAGGTAAAAGAGTGCCTCAAAGTATTTGTCAAATGCAGTGGTGCACATTGGTTCAAGCAGAGAAATATAGGATTTATAGATGTAATATTTCCAACAGCTGATCAGACAACCATTGTAACAAAAGTTCCGGAGACTAACTGTGCACACATCTTTACTGTACACTGTAGTTAATGGTAATACTCAAAGCAGTATTAACTTACTCAGAAGTTTCAAATCTACAGCAATCCCTATATTTTACAAGAAAAATAAATGTGAAAATATGAAAGGGTAAAGAGGGACATTCAGTGATACTTAAGAGAACAAATTGTTAGATTTCAAGCAAGTAATTGCTAACCAAAGGGTCTGTTTTAGATGACGCACCGATCAGATCAATTTTGCTTTTACATTGCATTTCCAGAGTCTTCAAAAGTGAAACCAAAAAGGAGCTATCGAATTCTAGGTCTTCGCTTTGTCTCCATCACTTGTAGAGTGCGCTTGCCTCAAATGTCATTACAAACGACTGACATGTGAAAGAGAATAAGAAACGTATCCTCACAATCTCCAAATAAAGGCAGCAAAGGCCGGGAAAAGCTGCGGGATGTCAGGAATCTTTTGTTCCTGGACTTTACTGCAAGTCCGAACCTGTTGTTTGGCTGCCGCTTTTCATGCAAAAAACAGTCACTACACTTTACAATACATTTTGTGAAGCACTTTGAGACGTCTCAAGGACATGATAAGGTGCTATATCAAATCCAAGGATTATTATTATTGTTATTATTGACTAGCTGAGATCATAAAAACAGGTTTCTAATGACATTTGCTGCAAACGCAGTCTGCAGAGCCGGTTGCTCCGGCTCTGTGACTTTTCCTGACAATATTGGAGACCACGGGAGTCAGATTCTGGAAGGATTTTCCTAAATTTGGCATTCCTGTTTTTCTTTACACATTGCCTTCAGAGGCAAGCTTGTGATTGACTGAAAGTGCCAGTAACAAATATGTGTATCACAATTACTTCCAATCAAGCAAAATCACATTATCATTTTCCCTTTCTATATGGCTTGTTATTATTCATTAATCTCCACCCGTATTCTACTCCCTATTCTCTTTTGCTTGGTGGCCAACCCCTTCACTGTGAAACGTTTCGAGATGTTAGCCTATGTCAAGGTACTGCACAAATGCAAACTGTAGTAATCACGATGCATTAATGTCATAATTACCTTATTGAAGGCATCAATGAACTTCACACCTTTGTACGTGATAGAGAGGATAATGGTTGGAATCTTTTTCATATGTTCAGTAGATTTCTAAATAAGAACAAAGACAAAATGTTAGAGATTTGCACATATTCAATACAAAGTTAATCTTTCAATCAGCAATAATACAAACCCTCATCTTTGCACAGGCATCTTGTGTAGATTCTGTTCCCTTCAGCTCTTTAATCAACATAGAACCCAAATACTGTAAGAAATAGAAAAGGTAGATGAGATGTCTGTAAGAGTCACACTGCAACGTTTTTGGGGTTAGGCAGATGAACTGCAGCATATCTGCTCCTTTAAGACTAGAGAGTTAAAGCAGCACACCAAGTTATTGACTAACAGAAGCTACATTTCTTTTGTTGATCAGTATCCATTGATTACATAAGAACATAAGAAATAGGAGCAGGAGTAGGCCATTCGGCCCCTCGAGCCTGCCCCGCCATTTAATAAGATCATGGCTGATTTCGAACCTAATTCTATTTACCCGCTCTATCCCCATATTTCTTAAATCCTTTAGTTTTTAAAAATCTATCGATCTCAGTTTTGAATATGTTCAATGACTGACTGAGCATCCACCGCCTTCTGGGGTAGAGAATTCCATAAATTCACTTCCCTCTAAGTGAAGAAATGTTTTCTCAACTCTGTTCTAAAAGGCTGACTATGATCCTGAGACTATGACCCCGAGTTTTAGATTCTCCAACCAGGGGAATCAGTCTCACACTATCTGGCCTGTCACGACCCTTAAGAATCTTATAGGTTTCTATAAGATCACCTCAAATTCTTCTATATTCTAGAGAATATAGGTCTAGTTTACTCAACCTCTCCTCGTAGACCAAACCCCTCATCCCAGGAACCAACCTCGTGAACCTAAGTTGCACTCCCTCTAAGGCGAGTATATCCTTTCTTAGATAAGGAAACCAAATCTGCAAACAATATTCCAGGTACGGTCTCACCGAGGTCCTATACAATTGCAGTAAGACTTCCCTACTCTTGTACTCTAACCCCTTTGCAATAAACGCTAACATGCTATTAGCCTTCCCAATTGCTTGCTGTAACTGCATACTAACTTTCTGTGATTGGTGTACAAGGACATCTAAATTCCTCTGAATACTAACACTACCTAGACTCTCACCCTCTAGAAAATAATCTATTCTATTTTTTCTACCTTGGTGAATAACTTCACTTCCCCACATTATACTCCATCTGCCACCTTCTTGCCCACTCACTTAACCTGTCTATGTCCCTTTCATCCTCCTTGTGTCCTCCTCACAGCTTACTTTCCCACCCAGCTTTGCATCGTCTGCAAATTTAGAAACATTAAGCTCTATTTCCTCATCTAAGTCATTGATGTAGACTGTAATCAGTTGAGGCACTCAAGGAGCCCTTCATCCCTACAGTCTGTTTTCTGCCTGTTAACCACTCTTCGATTCATGCTAATATATTATCCTTAATTCCATGGGCCCTGATCTTAAGTAACAATCTTTTATGTGGCACCTTGTCGAATGCCTTCTGAAAATTCAAATAAACTATATCCACTGGGTCCCCCCATCTAACCTGCTAGTTACATCTTCAAAGGATTCTAAAACATTTGTTAAACACAATTTCCCTTTCATAAAACCGTGTTGACTCGCCCTAATCATATTATGACTTTCTAAGTGCCCCACGACGACGTCCCTAATTATAGACTCCAGAGTTTTCCCTACCACCGATGTCAGGCTAATTGGTCTATAGTTCCCTATTTTTTCTCTCCCACCCTCTTCTTAAATAGCGGTATCATGTTTGCGACCTTCTAATCAACGGGAACCGTTCCAGAATCCAGGGAATTCTGGAAGATCAAAAACAATGCATCCACTATCTCTGTAGTCACCTCTTTTAAAACCCTAGGATGCAGGCCATCGGGTCCAGGGGATATCAGTTTTTAGTCCCATCATTTCTCTAATACTATTACTTTACTGATATTTATTTCTTTAAGTTCCTCACTAACATTGGTTTCCCAGTATTTCAAGCATTGATACTAATGCTTTTTAGTATCAGAAGCTAAACATTTGTTTAGTGACTCTGCCATTTCTCTATTCCCCACTATAATTTCTCCTGTCTCTGCCTGTAAGGGACCCACATTTACTTGTGTTAATCTCTTCCTCTTTATAGACTTGTGAAAGCTCTTACAATCTGTCTTTATATCTCTGGTTAGTTTACTCTCATATTCCATTTTCTCCCTCTTAATCAGATTCTTGGTTATCCTTTGCTGATCTCTAAAACCCTCCGAATCCTCAGGCTTACAGCTCTTTTTGGCAGTATTATGGGCTTCTTTTAATTTTATACTTTCCTTAACTTCTCTAGTTATCCATGGTTGAACCACGTTTCCTGTGGAATTTTTATTTCTCAAGGGAATATGCGTTCGCTGGGAATTATTTAAAAAATCTTTGAACATTTGCCATTGCTTGTCTACCGTCATATCTTTTAATCTACTTCCCCAGTCTATTTTAGCCAAATTGTCCCTCATACCTGCAAAGTTGGCTTTATTTAAGTTTAAGTCCCTTGTTTTGGACTTAACTACATCACTCTCAAACTTAATATTAAATTCCATCATATTATGGTTACTCATCCCTAGAGGAGCCTTAACTTCAGGATTACTGATTAGCCCTGCTTTGTTAATACAAGATCTAGGATCGCCTGTTCCCTGGTTGGTTCCTCAGCAAACTGTTCTAGAAAACTCTCTCTAATGCATTTCATAAACTCATCCTCTAATTTACTTTTGCCAATTTGGATTTCCCAGTCTATATGAAGATTAAAATCACCCATTATTATTGAATTACCCTTGTTACATGCTCCTCTAATTTCCTGATTAATACTCTGCCCAATATTGTAACCACTGCTTGGGGGGGTCTATAAACTACTCCCACTAGTGTTTTCTGCCCTTTGTTGATTCTTAGTTCCGCCCGTACTGATTCTACATCCTGATTTTCTGACTTAAGATCCTTCCTCTCTACTGTTTTTATCTCATCCTTTATTAACAGGGCTACCCCCCCACCTCCCCACCCGTTTCCCATATTGCCTATCTTTCCTATATGTGAGGTATCCTGGAATGTTTAGCTCCCAACCTTAGTCTCCCTGTAACCACGTCTCAGTAATGGCTACTAGATCGTACCTGTTTATCTCTATTTGTGCCATTAATTCATCTATCTTGTTACGAATGCTTTGTGCATTCAGGTATAGCCCCTTTAATTTTAACGTTTTACTATTTCTTCTTCTCATTAATGCCCTATCTTCTTTGTTAAACTCTTTATCCCTATTTGACACACTCTGATCTTCATCTCCTGAGTCGCTACTCTGCTCTACAGCCTTGTCTTTTCTTATTTGCTTTGTGAGTTTGCATTTAACTGTAACCGCCCCCCCTACTCCCTTATTAATTTAAAGCTCTATCTATCTCCCTAGTTATTCGTTTTGCCAGGACACTGGTCCCAGCCCGGTTTAAGTGGAGCCCACCCCGATGTAAGAGCTCCCTCTTTCCCCAATACTGGTGCCAGTGGCCCATAAAACGAAACCCCTGCCTCCAGCACCACTCTTTCAGCCACGCATTTAAACCCTTTAATCTGCTTGTCCCTATACCAGTTTGCGCAAGTCTCAGGTAGTAATCCCGAGATTATTACCTTAGAGGTTCTGCTTTTTAATTTCATCCCTAGTTCATTAAACTCCCTCATCAGATTCTCATTACTACTACTGCCTATGTCGTTGGTTCCTACATAGATCACGACAATTGCATCCTCCCCCTCCTGCTCCAAGTTCTTCTCCAACTGCGAAGAGACATCCTTAACCTTGGCACCAGGAAGGCAACACAGCCTTCGTGACTCCTGGTTGAGGCTGCAGAGCAGAGTATCTGTCCTCCTGACTGTATCGTCCTCTATCACAACCACATTCCATTTTGCTCCCCCCACTTGTGTGGCCTCTTGTACAGAGGTGCTGTGGTCAGTTTGCCCATCCTCCCTACGGCCTTCCTTGTCCACACAGGTTGCAAGTACCTCGTACCTGTTGGACAAGGTTAAGGCCCGAGGCTCCTCCACCACTCCCTCTGGGGTCCCCTAACCTGCCTGACTGTCAGTCACACTGTCCTGTCTCTGACCACTGACAAGATCTGTACATCTACTGAGCCTCAGGGGAGTGACTGCTTCCTGGATCAGAGTATCCAGCTCGCTCTCCTCTTCCCTAAAGCTGCGCGATATCTGCACCTCAGATTCCAGCTCAGCAACTCTCTTGATCTGAAGTTTCCTCCATCACAGACACTCACTGCAGATGTAGCTGCCGGGGCTCAGGCTGCTCTCCATCAACTCCCACAACACCCGCCCTGCCATTCTGCCGCTCACACTGACCTCACGGTCATGTCACTTATTGTTTTCCTGCAGCTCCACCGCAGCTCCTCCCTGCGCTGTCCACTCTCCTCTCCGAATTCCTTCCTCTCTCTGTCCCTCTTTCTCTCACTCCTTTTTTCCCCTTGTTCAGTAGTTAAGTGTGACATCACGCTGACGTCCCTTGTTGTTATCCCATTTTATACTTCTCCGAATTAGCGACTGCCGATCTACACTAGGCTTTATACTTCCACCAGGCTGCAGCTCCTCCCCACTCTCTTCTCCGAACTGAACAATAACGCCTGTGTACTCACATTAGCTGCATATCCACACGACTCAAATATGAGTTTCTCCGGCTGGTGCTGCCAGTTCTGCACAGGTGCATACGGTGCAGCCAAACTCGGTGGGCGAAGGGTCAACCTGGACTCACGATGATCATCCTGTTGAAATATACAAAACAACCTCATTGGTACAAAGTATCTGCAAATCTTCTTTTGGCTCTGCTCAAAATGCGCCGGATAAAATGAGGGACATTCACTTGCTAAGCTGATACTTTGAAGCTCAACAGACTACAGAATAAGCTATCCCTTCACACATGCCGTCCCTCCACAGTCTCGCCCCACTCTACCTCTGCCATCTCCTTTAATGTGACCTGGCTGCTCCCTTTGCTCATAGAATTAGAAAGTTGTGACGGATTTGTGATGAAGATCTCCTGAACATAAACACTTGCTGCTTCTTAACTTAAAACCCACATTAAAAGAAGGAAGTCTTTGCTCAATTGGGCAGATGTCCGACTCTTGGCGAAACCCAGAACTCACAAACACGTGAATGCACCAGAAAATGACAGAATGTCGAATAAATGAAGCAATTATAATCGAATTGTGTTTGAGGATTTGGAGAAAGATTGATACACTAATACATTGCAGTCTAAATGTGAAATTACTGGAAAAAAAAATTACACATCCAAATTGGCTTTACATCCTGTGTATACAGCACACGCCCCTTGCTCAACTAGTTATTTGGACTGTGGTCTCTCACGTTTCCACAGTGGAGCTCAGCGCAGCTGCAAATCAGCGCAAAATACTGACTGAATAATTAAAGCTAGCAAGAATCTTTAATTACTTAAGCCAGTCATAAAGCTACACTTTGTAGTGAAATTAAACTGAAAAAGCTGCAGAAGGTGGTACCAAAATGAAAAAAAATACATTAGTTCCATCAAGATTGAAATTATGAAACAAAGACAGAGAGAGAACTCAGCAGGTCAGGCAGCATCTATGGAGAAAGGAAAGTGAGTCAATGTTTCAGGTCCATGACCCTTCGTCAGAACTGGGGTGTGTTGGGAGGGAGAGGTTTTTAAGGACAAGTTGAGAGGGGGAGGCAGGACAAGGACGACAAAGAAGACAAGGGAGAGAATGTGTTAGTTGATGGGTTTAGTGGCATAAAAAAGGGGGGGTGGGTTGAAACAAAACTGCGGAGAAGGTGTTAATAGTGCAGAACAGGCAACACAGCAAACAGAGGCACAGAGTGTCTGGGGTGATGATTGTAATGATAACAGAAGATAACTCTTCTGGTAACAGAAAGAGGGGGGGGGGAGGAAGGTGAGCTGTTATGGTCTGAAATGGCTGAAATCGATATTGAGGCCAGAGGGCTGTAGGGTCCCTAACAGATAGATAAGATGCTGTTCCTCAAGCTTTCGCTGTGGATCATTGCAACTGCGTAGGAGACCATGGATGGAGAGGTCAGACTGTGAATGGGAGTGTGAGTTAAAATGGCAGGAGACAGGAAGATCAGGGTTGACCTCGTGTACAGAATGGAGGTGTTCTGCAAATCGGTCACCCAATCTGCGCTTAGTCTCTCCAATATAGAGGAGACCACACCATGAGCAGCGGATACAGTAGATTACATTGGTGGTAGTAAACGTAAACCCCTGTCTTACATGGAAGCTGTGTTTGGGGCCTTGGATAATGGTGTGGGAGGAGGTGAAAGGGCAGGTATTACATGTCATGCACTGGCATGGGAAGGTGCCAGAGGAAGGAGAGCAGCTGTAGAGCCGACGGCGGAATGAACTAAGGAATCCTGGAGGGAACGATCCCTTTGGAATGCGGAGAGGGGAGAGAAATATGTGTTTGGTGGATGAATCACGCTGGAGGTGCTGGAATGCTGGGACACTACCCCACGTGAAGGGTGCTATATAAATGCAAGTTGTTGTTTTTGGAACTAAAACAACAACAAAGAGTGCCTTTTACACTGGGAGGACGTCCCAACTGTCAGTGAGCCAATAGATATCTATAATTGATAGACTACATAATATTTGGTACTGCACCATAATATCCTGTCATATGTCTCAAAGCACAGGTTCAGGTTTTTATGCAGTCTTTATATTGTTTAAACATGAAGCATGGTGACATTGGAAGAAAAGACTGAGCCCAACAGTGTGTGAGGGAGTTGAACTGACTGCATTCACGTAACAATAATCACTTAAGCATAATAATAACAATCCTTGATACAGAGCTTTTTACGTCTTCCAGACACATCTTAGGTTAAAGACGCCTTTCTGATAATAATAATAATCCTTGCATCTGATATAGCAACTTATCACACCTTCAAGACGTCTCAAAGCGCTTCACAGAATATACTGTAAAGTGAATTAGCTGTATATTTTGTGGGCGGAACGTGGCAGCCAATTGATGGCAACTCTATACTCCATCACAACGGCTTCCTGTTTAAGTTCGTTCTCATGAGCACTTGCTGTTTAAACCAAGCAATGCAACAAGCACACTAATAGACTGGGAGAAAGATATTACATCATAATTTGATGCAATTTTTGACTGGGCAATTTTTAATAACATCGCCCTCCCAAATCATGAAATGCTTGAGTGGGTTTTACAGAACAACAAACAATTTAGAGCGATTTAGGTTTAAGCCCATGAATAAACTGACAAAAAACAACTGTTCAGGAGGATCACCGTCAGACAAATTTGTTTGAACAAAACAGAAGATGATCTTCAAAATCTAAATTTTTTTCACTGAAAGCGCACAAATTTGTGAGAAGGAAGCAATGGCAAACTAATCGTCATCTAGATGGTAGGCTGAGATAAGGGACACTGCATCTTTATCTCTCTTATTGATTTATTAACGCAGTTTGACATTTATGGTTTGTAAAGCATCTTATGATTAATGACACTGGCCAGTTATCCTACAACCCTCACCAAGGACAGAATGAAAAACGTTTGTCGCATTGCAAGTACTTTGTGCCTCACTGGCTCGCTGCCATCAGGCTTGAAAGGTAATTTTTGTTGCAAGCAACTTTAACTCGATATCTATAGTATTCATGTGTGCAGCCATTCAGTGATGGAATGATACCAAGCGCACATTCAACAACATGGGTAACTAGTAAAATCCTGCTGTGGGAATTTGCGATTAAGTTATCACTTTGAGTTGTAAGTTCCTTATCCTTACAGCATAATCAGTATAAATATATAAAAATAATAATCCTTACATTTGATATAGCACCTTTCAAGTCAGGAGGGAGTCTTAAACAACAACAACAACAAATTACATTTGTATAGCACCTTTCAGGTCGGGAGGACGTCCAAAGGTGCTGGACAGTCAGGGATTTGGATCCGAGCTGGGGGGTTTGAGATCAGGGGTGGAGGGCCAGGAGGGTGACCGAAGTCGTGGTCGAAGAGGAGGGTCTTGAGACGGGTCTTGAAGGAGGTACGGGAGGGAATAGGGCGAAGGGACTCTGGGATGGAGTTCTAAATGGTGGGGGCAGAGAGGCTGACAGGTTGATATGGCGTAAGCAGGTTACAGAGGTAGGAAGAAGCAAAGCCGTGGAGGACCTTGAAGGCGAGGACTAGGATTTTGACATAATATTCAGTCAATTCACTTAAGAGTTTGTTCTTTGAAGCGTTTTGAGATGTCCCGAAGAAGTGATAACGCGCTATATCAGATGCAGGATTATTACTATTATTAGGTCCATCGTGCTCATACAGCTCTTTTAAAGAGCAATTCTTTCAGTCACGTTTACCTGTCTTTTCCGCATATCCCTGAAGTTTACTCCGTTTTGGATATCTATCTAGTTCGTTTGTGAAAGTTAATATGGTAGAGCATACTATATCCTAACCACTCTGTGTGCAAAATATCTTAACTCCTCTTTCGCTCATTTTATATCTCTCTTTTCCCCATTAAGAGTAGAATAAATAAAATAAAAATCGATCAATACAAGAATGCACCATTCAGCAACTTTAAATCAGTGAGCAAACAGATGATCGGTATTATTCCCTATCTATCTCACTCACATACACACACGCACACACCAGCTGGTGAAGTTAGAAAACAATATGTATGTAAAAGAACATCACAATGGAACAGAGAACTCGTTCTGTTCCTCCATATGGGGGTGAGTGAGGGTGGTGGGTACACCAATACCAAGGAGCAATTTGAATGTAAATTTTAAACAGCGGATCAAAGGACTTTTTCACTGAGAGAAAGCAGCCCAAAACAGCTCACTGGAACAGTCACTGGCATCAATGGCAGGAATAGGAATAGGGAGGCAAAGCAAGAAAACAAAGAATGAAAAATCTAATGGAATAAAAGGACACATTTAGTTATTTATTATCTATAGCACATTTCTATTGCAAAAAAAGCTCCAAGTGCTTATAAATGTTTTGTGTGGTCCAGTGTGTGTATATAGCACAAATGTTGAGGTGTCGCAATATCTGCCTCTAAATCACGGTCACTACCACTGTGATTACTACACTTTACAGTAAATCCTATGAGACACTTTGATATATCATCTCAAAGTGAATAGCCCTATATTAAATGCAAAAATTATTTTTATTATTGTGATAATATCACATTACAAAGAGAAAGATTAAAGACTCGTACATGGAATTCTCATCATTTGAACACCAGGAGTTCATGAAATAATAAACATAAAAATGCTGACGACAAGAAAAGCTTACAAGAGCTCATCATTCGCTGATCACACTGTGTAATAGGCCATTTATATTAAAACTTTCCCGTGCGTTCAATAGAAATATCTTGCCTCATCAATACTGGAGTTCACTATAAATCAGTTGATGGAAGCATTGATTAGATTTGGAATCTTTTATGTGTGATTTACAATGAAGGCGATTTTAAAGAGCCTTTGAACATGCGAAAATTTAGCTTAACATTTTTTGGACGACCCATCAGATTGCTCTGAAAAGTTATTAATCTCATTAGAGTCATTCATATGGTTGTGTCTTCACTAACGTTCAAAAGGAGCAGTTGAGAGTAAGTTAGAGCATAAGGAATATAAATAGTTTCATTTTGGACTCCCTGTCACTGGAAGTGACTCACACGCCCACCAGGATTGGGGAACTCGCTGTGTCGTGGGATCTTTAACGTCCATCTGATCAGACAGAGATGTGATCTTGGTTTAAGAAGAACAGCA